TGATGTGCCCCTCCGTGACGGAGGAGGCCATCCACTTGCCTCCCGCTCCGGACATGGCTCGGGAAGGTTGAGGCGAGATGTGCGGACTTGGGCGCTGGAGCTCGAGTACGCGGAAATGGATAAGCAAAGGAGGAAGAAGGCGTAGGTAAAAAGGTGGATCCTTATCCCCTTATATGGACGGACAAAACTATGCGTCCCCACCGGCCTGGTAAAACTCGCTTATCTCCCAAGCGCCGTAATCAATGGCGCGGTTGGGTTACCCACGCCCGCATTGATGAGAATCCCGGAATAAGGGGACACGATCATTGCTTTGACAAGACATGCCAAGGAAACCACTTCGTTAAACGCACTGAGGTGGAACAATAAAAACAATTCAAATAAAGGCTTGGCCGTGGTGTGATGTCACACCACGAAATACGTCAGCAGATTGAACTTGTGTAAATGTTATTCTCCCTACGGTGGTATGTGGAACTTATTTTGCAGAGCCGGACACTATCCTTGTGTTCAAAATCTTCTATGAAGTATTCGGAGGAGGAACCCGCCTTGCAATGCCGAAGACAATATGCGCGCCGGACTCATCGTCATTGAAGCCTGGTTCAGGGGCTATTGAGGGAGTCCTGGACTAGGGGGTGTCCGGATAGCTGAACTATCATCTTTGGCCGGACTCCTAGATACGAAGATACAAGATTGAAGACTCCGTCCCGTGTCCGGATGGGACTTTCCTTGGCGTGGAAGGCAAGCTTGGCGATACGGATATGTAGATCTCCTACCATTGTAACCGACTCTGTGTAACCCTAGACCTCTCCGGTGTCTATATAAACCAGAGGGTTTTAGTCCGTAGGACGAACAACAATCATACCATAGGCTAGCTTCTAGGGTTTATCCTCTTTGATCTCGTGGTAGATCTACTCTTGTACTACCCATATCATCAATATTAATCAAGCAGGAGTAGGGTTTTACCTCCACCGAGAGGGCCTGAACCTGGGTAAAAACATCGTGTCCCTTGTCTCCTGTTACTATCCGCCTAGACGCACAGTTCGGGACCCCCTACCCGAGATCCGCCGGTTTTGACACCGACACAAGCCCTGACAAAACTAACTCAATTACATGATAAATCTCATCCAACCCATCACCGTCCAGCAAGTCTACGAAGGAATTACTCACTCCCGGTGGCGAGCATCATGAAATTGGTGATGGAGGAAGGTTGATGATGATGATGATGGCGTTGAATCCCCCTCTTCGGAGCCCCAAACGGACTCCAGATCAGCCCTCCCAATGAAGAACAGGAGATGGTGGCGGCTCCGTATCGTAAAACGTGATGATTCCTTCTCTCTGATTTTTTTGACGAATAGGTATTTCTTGAGTTGAAGTTAGGGTTGCAGGAGCTGCCAGGGGCCCACAAGCCTGGTAGGCGCGCGCTGGGGTGTGGCGTGCCCCTGGACTTGTGGCGCGCTGGTGGCCCCTCCCTGGTAATTTCCTTCGTCAATATTTTTTATATATTCTGAAATAATTCTCCGTAAATTTTCAGCTCAATCCGAGAACTTTTATTTCTGCACAAAGACAATACCATGGCAATTCTGCTGAAAACAGCGTCAGTCCGGGTTAGTTCCATTCAAATCATGCAAATTAGAGTCCAAAACAAGAGCAAAAGTGTTTGGAAAAGTAGATACGTTTGGGACATATCAGCTCACTATGCTTACGTGTACTCAATGGGAAGTACTTCCCGGAGTGTGATTTTATGAAGGCTCAAGCTCCAGCTAAATCTTCGGCAACATGGAAAGCGATCATCGCCGGGAGAAAAGCTCTGCAAATGGGGTTGTTGAAACGAGTGCGGGACGGCCCAACAATTTCCATACGGAATGATCGGTCGATTCCTGACCCGGCCACATTCGAAACCATGGGCAGAGTAGGAAATGAGGACCTGACTCATGTTCCGGACCTCATTAATCAAAATGGACAGTGAGACATCAAAACAATCAGGAGAAATTTCTTTGAACCAGAACAACTGCCATTCTTAATATTCCTTTGTAGGCGTCAGGTGGAGAAGATACTTTGAGTTGGGCATTAGAAAGATTAGGTGAATATTCAGTCAAAATAGCACACCACGCTCTTGTGACTCGTGACGAGCATCGTGCTCTAGAGGAAGGGGCGGCAACAAGGACTTCATCGTCAGATGTTCACCTTTGGTCTACTCTATGGAAACTCAAGGTAATCCCAAGAGTTTGGGTCTTTTGGGGGAGAGTTCTTCGAGGAATCCTACTAGACTATGCTACACTAAAGCATTGACATATTCAGGGTACTGCGAGATGTGACATCTATGAAGTAATGGATGAAAATATGATGCATGCTCTTGTATCATGTTCCCATGCTAAGAACTACTGGATGGTAGTAAGAGAGGCCCTAGATGTTAAATTACCTCTCCTACATCCGGACACATGGGCTCGGGATATTATGCTTGATGAAAGGTTCATTGATAAGGACAGATGCAAAATCATAACGGTCATGCACACTATTTGGACGTCTTGTAACAATTGGACACATGAAAAGGAGCCTTTCGATCCAATTCATGCGGTCAAAAGGATAAGGATGAGCTCTTAGCACTGGAAATGCCTCCGGAGGGGCAAGAAAAGCGACAAGGACAGTGTTGGAGACCCCCCGAACCAGGGGATAAAGATAAACACCGATGGGGCAATTGACTCTAATTCTCAGAATGGAGGTGGAGGAGGTGTAGCAAGATCGCATCTCTCTTACCAAGGAGCTTGGAGAAAACCCTTTCCAGGGATTACCAATCCATTTATAGCTGAAGTTTTGGCTTTGCGAGAAGGTGTTATATTTGCCCAGTTATGGGGCTTCTCGCATGTGATGATGGAGAAGGACTGTTTAGAGGTTGTCAACCTCTGGTCCTCATGGCACAATGATCATTCAGTTGTGGCGCCTATCTTCGAGGAAATACGGGAAAGGTCTGTATTTGCATCATTCTCGGTTCGTCATGTTATGAGGGAAGCGAACACTCCAGCAGATTTATGTGCCAAACACGCAACTACTATTAGTAGCACCGATTGTTGGATCGACGAAATTCCGTGATTTCTTGTTAGAACCCTTGTGGCGGATTGTAATCGAATTTCTGTAAAGCAATAAAGATCCCCGAGTTTCGAGTCAAAAGAAATACTCTCCCCCCTCCTCGAGTTTCAGCTGGGGTGTGCTTCTCACCTTGAATTCCTCCCAATCAAAAAACCCAACTAAGGGCCTCTCAACCATGGACCCTCAAACCTTCTATATCCATCCGGCCTGAGCGGCCCGGCCCCCACAATTCACCCTACGGTGTCTTGCATCGGTCCTAGGACCAGTCCGGATGTTCGTTTTCCCACAAATCGGAAGCAAACCAGGGGCTTTGCGGGAGCCCAAACACCATCCATGCAGGACTTTGACACCCCCGGCCCACCCAAAACTGGCAGAGCCCGTGCATTTGGAACTGTCCACAATATTTCCGCGGCAAAAATCCCATTTCTCAACCCTCTCTTCTACATCATCCAAGAGCCCGTGACTAAGTATTGCAGCCATTTGAAACAACTAATCGGACGGTGTCCAAGTGGTGCACAAATCATCGAGCAAGTAGATTGTTAATGTTGGTCATTTGGCCGGATATGCAACTTGTTGGCCGGATATATCTATGTGTTGGTCATTCGGCCAGATCAGATATGCAACTTGTTGACAATATTTTACTTTGTAGCCTTCCTGTGGTTGCAATATGTTCTTGAAGTTCGAGAAGGAAAACTTCATCCTCATGCATTGTTGGTTGAACTCGAGTGGGCAACCCAAGTGGAATATATCTGTGTCAACTCCGCCAAGACCGTCAGCATCGACGTCGACGAAGAAACGGGTGATCCAACCCACCCAACAGCCGCCCAAGAAGGATTGAAGAGAATTCCAAGGAAAGAAGTGGGAGGAGGAAAAGGAGAAGCGAGAAGGGGGCGGCCAAGATGACGGAGAGGTTCGAGGGCATCTTTTGAGGCTTGAAGGCAAGCAACTGACATATCGGATCTTGCCATTGCCAGGAGCATGGATGCTCGGAACGCCCTTAGTCTATGTTTGTCTATATAGGCTTTAAGGGAAAAGGCCAAGTAAGTCATAAGCCAAAAATCAAGGCTTTTAAGGACCTTGGACAACTTGGCAAAGAAGGAGGCATGTGTCAAGCGCTCCGACATCAAGGAGGTAAAGTCGAGACGTTTAACATGTTGATGACGGCGACAGAAAAAAAGCTCAAGCTTGAAGAGAAGGCCAAGCTCAAAAGGTAGAAGGCTGAGACTGCAACCACTTCGGAGGATTTCAAAATGTTGACCTTGAAGATGGAGCGAATGCATGACAAGCAAGGATGATCGTGCAAGTCGTTTGTCTTAGGATGTTGAAGTGCTTGAAGGATCAATCGGAGACGACGGAGAAGGAAGCGGCGGATGGCGAGGAGGAGGCGACGACGACTCGGACAGTCTATCCCACGGTCTGTCGGACGGAGATTCTTTTGTGATCGGGCATGTAAAAAGTATACACTGCATACTTGTCTCGTTTTGGTTGTGATCGGGCGCTATGCATTTAAATTTCAAATTGATTGAACATGTGTGAATGTTTATGAGATGCAGTTGAATGGCCGGCTCCTGCATCACCGTTGATCCTCACCGGTTGACGGACGAATACGATGTCCTATTTGAAGATCTGCGTTAGAGATGCCCTAAGCATCTTCGTTAACCCGTAAAATTCTGCCGCACGTGATATGTGTATCATTTATCCTCTAAATACCGCGAAAGACCCAAGATCGTAGTATTATTTATTTGGTGAGTCATCCATCCGGCACACACATACCACAGTTATACAGGGCTTGACAAGTCAAGTGACAAACAGTACGGGCAACAAATTGCGGCTCGGCTCACACACTATCTTGTACACGCACGAACGTGCCCGTGCTTGCGCATGCACACGCCATCTCTCTAGCGTTCCCCTCCCCTGGATCACTTGTATGGAACGGCGACCCTGTCCGGCCCGGACTTCATGTCCTCCCAGAGCAGATCGGACAGCGCCAGCATCAGCTTCCCCACCTTCCCTGCATCATTCACATCAACGCACACACACGAATTAACCAACCAAACGCAACGATCCAATTTGTTCCAAAAACAATCGATCAGCTTTGAGAGCGGGTGATGCTTACCGTCGCCGATGGGCTGGCCGTCCCACTCGACGATGGGCAGCACGGGCAGGCCGCTGCCGACAAAGGCCATCTCCACGGAGCGCTTGGCGTCGTCGGCGGTGATGTGCTGGGTGCTGACGCCCTTGAGCAGGCCAGCCTCCACGAGCTTCGGCGCCAGCGCCAGCATCCGCTTGGCTGTGCACCCGCTGAGGATCTTGTCGAACACAGGGAGCACGAGCTCGCCGCCCTGGGTGACGAAGGCGACGTTCACCATGGGCCCCTCGGCGACGTACCCCTGCTCGTCCACCCACACGGACGCGAACGCGCCGCGCTCCTCGGCGTCCATGATGGACAGCACATTAGGGAGGTAGTTGACGTTCTTCATGGTGGCGAACAGCGGCGGCTTCATGGGCACCGACGTGGTCACGGCGCGCACGCCGTCGCGGCACTGCGCGTAGTCGGACGGGATCGCCACGGCGTAGAAGGCCGGGCCGGGACAGCCGCTGGAGGAGAGCAGGAAGTCGCCCGGGCCGGAGCTCAGCCAGTACCGGATGGAGCCCTTCCGGCAGCCGGACGCCGCCGTCATCTGCACGAGGATGCTGCGCAGCGTGTCGCGCGGGAACGGGGTGCCCACCTTGGCCTGCGCCGCGGAGCGCAGGAAGCGGTCGAGGTGCGCGTCGAGCTCGTAGAGGTGGCCGTCGAGGAGCATGGCCGTGTCGAAGACGCCGTGGCCGCGGTGGACCATGTGGTCGTCGATGGGGAGGGCCATCATGGCCGGGTCCAGGATGATCCCGCCCAAGAAGCTCGAGTACATGGCCGGGTACGGCGCCGCCGTGGACTTCCATTTCTCTTGCAGCTTCTGCAGGGCCTGTACGCGCGCCGAGATGGACAGCCATTGATCATTTGATCGTGCAAGCATATGTTAATCAACGCAAACAAAGCAAAAGAGTCATAGGCTCATAGCTGAGATCAACTTCATTGGTCCAACATATTAGTAGTATTTTGGCTGTTTTGCATTTAGATAGATTTGTGGAAACCCCACAAAATAAAACATAAATAGTGTGTGTCTACTCATCGTGCACAGTGAAAGGAGAAACAGATGAGGGAATGGCATCAATAATGCGAGCCTCCCGACAAAGTATACCGACGTCAAGAGTTGGTGGCAGTTCGTGCAATTTTAGTTGCGTGTCAGACATGTGCACAGTTCGTCAAAGGCCGATGCGGATCAAGAGCTTCTGTCTAGCTAATTGAGGAGGAGGAGGGAGGGGGAGAAGGAACTCACATGTGCACCCGATTCATAGACGGGAACTTCATCCTCACCTGACAGCAAAAACAAATGAAAGATCAGGTAAGCCACTAGGGGGAAAACCACGAGGCAGCCCAACCAACTCGCCGCAGACCTCGGGATCGATCGGCTCAACTCACCCTGAACGTAGGAGCCCATGGTGATCTGATCTGATCTGATCCGCGAATGAAGTTCGAGTAGCAGAGGTAACGGGTGGAGTGGCAGTGCGAGTGGAGCACCTGCTCGCACTGAGGTTTTATAATCGGCCGGCCGGCCGGGCTGCTCGCTGCGCCGTGACGCGCGCGGACGTGGCGTCGAATGGTCTAACAGAAAAGATAGGTAGACGAGAGACGACAAAGGGGGTGGGAGAGTGAGTGAGACGGAGCGCGACAAGTTTAGCCGGCCCGGCGCCCCCACCGCGGGCCGCCTGCCCTTGTTGTATCCCCTCGCGTTTTCTGCGTTTGTTCCGGGGCGAGCGAGGATGGACTTGGACGGACGGACAGCGCCGTGGCGAGAGCCGATCGGTCAGACCTTTTCTCCTACGCGGCGGTAAATGTTGGCCGGAGGCGCGACGCGTTCGCCGTCGCTCGCTGGTGGAACAGAAACGACGGCCCACTCGCCATCGGACGGGGATCGGTGGATGTGTATCGCGGCGTTTCGACCTCGAGCACCGCACCGGTGGTGCTGTTCACCGTGGAGCATGGATGGATGGGAGCAACTGTACTGGTACTGGTAGGCGGCGTAGCGAATTAGCCATACGGATACGGATATAGGATAGACTTGGAAGCAAACCACGTCCTCTGGTTTTTCCACGCCCTACACGCTGGGATAGTGGGATTCATGGTGAGTGATGACTCACCCGCATACTTTTGCATCGATCTCCCTCTACATTTCATCCGCTGTCCAATCCTTTCTGGCTCCAAACTTGTATTTCGGGACTGTAGACAAGGAAGAATAGCCAGTGCAACACCAGGCACGTATATATGAGTCATAGGAGGGCCACAACCTCAACTATACAGATGAACTAGGAGGTGGGCACAAGAC